TCTCGTTTAATTTTTAAATCATTCAAAACTGTACCTTGTAAAATATCTATATTATGTTCGTCATCATTAGCTTCATTTTCTAACATAGTCAACAAGATATTCCCAATATTGAATTCCTGTATGTCAGATAAATTTATAGTTCCCAAATCCATCACCTTTATTTTTTTCATCCATAGTTTGGTCATCTATAAAGCCAGCAAAGATTATATCTACGTCTATGGATTATAAGGACAGGTGTGCCATTTTGAGGTGTTGATTTGAGTCTTGAATATATATATATGTAAATATTCTTCAGAGTTACAAGAAATATACAAAAATCGCATAATTCTTTCAATAATATCTCAAATTACAAATTTTACTCATTATTTCTATAGATGTCTTTTCTATATATGGCAGTGTCTATAGAAAAGATGACTCGTCTTTAGGATTAATCTGGACACTCATATGGATTTGAAGGCTCAAATTTCGATGGAGAGCTGTGTACACTATTACTGACTAAATAATTGCCGTCTTTGAGACTAAGGTTCAATTGGTCCAAACATGGTGCAACTGTTCCTTTAATTCTAGGGAAAAAAGAAAATATTTTCTATACCAGCCGACCTGATAGATTGAATTTGATAAATAATATCATTAATTCTGACTGCTAACTGTATGTTATATATCACACTTGCCTGGTAATTAACACTGGTAGAACCAATAACAATGTTAGTCACACCAAATGTCATCCAAGTGAAGTATGAATCAGTTTTGAAAGTACTAAATAACCTAAGGGTAGGGTAAAGTGAAAAATATATACATTTTAAAGAACTTAATATAAGAATAATTTTTAATAAACCATTATAGAGGTGGGTTGATTTATACCTGCTCAGCTTTACTTAAATAATGCCTCTCGTCCACCATTCATACTTCACTTGGATGAGGAGACATTATTTTCCGTACAACCTTCAGTTTTCACATGTTTAAAAAGCAACTTCAAAGCTTCAAAAGTGGTTCAAACAAGGCTGAAAAACCACTGACACATCAACACCAAAAAGGTATGTACAAACATAGTTTCAACTCTACACTGCTGATGCAAATGAAAAATCTTTCGACTGTATTTCTCTGAAATAAAATTTATGAAAATTCTTTGTGTTTGTGTATAAACACCAAATATACCACTTCCTCCATGTCAAGTCGTATTGCTTATTGGTACCTGTTTTACATGAAGACAATATGATGGTGATAGATCACTCCTGAAGTCCTTGTATTTCAAGATGTCGTCTGAGACAATAACTGCAACTAAAGATAGTTTCTGTTGAAGAGGATGGCACGGGTTATTGTAAGGTAAAGTCAACGTATCTTTGTGTCTTGGTATCCTAATAGGAAAAGAAACAATTATTTCTAAGAGTATTGGAATCCAAGGTTGAGAAATCCAATGGGGAATAATTCAAATAGCTAATTTAACATTATTTGATATAATTTTATTTACCACCCGCAAAATCAGATTAAAAAGCGGGAACGGATATGGACAAAACTCATGCCTTGAAAACGAGAAAGCATGCCACTTAAAGCAAACAGGTTGTAGAAACCAAGAGACAAAATGTTCTAGTCTATGATTCAGTATGGATGCAAACATATCCACATCAGGTACAAAGGACTGTCTTTAACGTCCATTCTATATTATTATAAAAATTCCTAGAAAGAGAATCAGCTTGAATATACACTACAGACTGAAAAATATTCCTACTCTCTATATTTCTCAAGGGAGCCGCGGTGGCTCAGTGTGTTAGACACTTGCTGGCTAACCTGAAGGTCCAGGGTTCAATCCCGGCATAGGTCGAGATAATACCTTCGGATTTTTCAACCCGGTTTCCCCCTGTCAGTGATGCAGGTAAGAGGGGCTGACCTGGAAAAAGCGTCTAGTCGTTCGGATGGGACAATAAACCGAGGTCCCGTGTGCTACAGGCTGTGCACGTTAAAGATCCCTCAACAGTTGGAAATCGAAAAAGAGCAGGCTAGTGCTGTGTCCTGGCAAAATTTCTCTCAATGCACCCTGCATGGCGTTGCCCGTCTTCATTAGCCCACATGGTGCAGAAAAGTAGGACGTAAAACTCCATTCATTTCATTTCATTTCTATATTCCTCCATTGTAAAAGATCTGTTCACTATCAGTTGAATTTGATGTTTTATCTCTTACAGATTCTGTGTCTAGTTTACTCTCAGGCCTTGTTTTATCAGTGTCTCTTTTCTTCCAGATCTCAACTTTCCGTTCAGATATTAATTACTGTTGATGATGAGACACAAGACTATAGTTGTTTGATTTGTTGAGTTTCACAGTCATTCTACAAGGAATATAAGATTTAACAAAAGTATTTAGAAACCGTAAGTGACGTCATCCTATTGATAACACTTTTATTTCTTAACAAATCCCTGAGAAATTATATTTAACATCCCTGAAAAATTATATTTAAAATGCCTGGTAAATTATATTTAAAATGCCAGAGAAATTATATTTAAAATACCTGGAAATTATATTTAAAATCCCTGAGAAATTATATTTAAAATACCTGGAAAATTATATATAAAATGCCGGGAAATTATTTTTAAAATGCCTGGAAATCATATTTAAAATGCCTGAGATATTAACTGGGATATGTTTTTCTGTGACAATTTAAATTTTATAGCAGTGTCCAATTTTATGGATCAATTTCTTTGTTACTTGAAGAATAGTTTTAATAACGATATCAAATATAGCCTTTTTTTCTTTTTCTGTTCAGAAGTTGTGAATATTTGGTTACAAATATAAGTATTGTATTTCATATAAATGGTGAAGTTATGTCACTATATATCTTTCAAGTAGGCCATATCTGTGTTGTTTACTGTCTTCCACTGTAGTATAGTGTCGTCTGCTATCCATTTCAGTATATTACCTGCTATCCACCTCAGTAGTGTCGTCTGCTATAGTAACAATCATCTCTCTCTTTGTTTCTGTGCTGAATCTAAACCTTCGTTAATCAAAGGTGTGTTCACATTTCTTGTAAACAGGAAAGGGGCTACATATTTTATATGATCTACACACTTGTAGGCACGATAGAGACTACAGTTTTTATCATATCTTAATGAAACTTAGTATGCATACATATATTGGTGAGATCTCAGTCAATTTCGAATTTGACTTGTTTTGAATGAACAGTTTTCGAGTAAATGCCAATGACTTTGGAAATACACATCAAAAATTTGTTAACACAATAGAGATTTCAGTTTTTATGTTATGGTCATGATATGCTAAGTTATGATCACGAGATGCTAAGTCGTGGCCATGCGATGCTAAGTTATTGCCACGAGAT